TAAGAGGGAGACTTTCCAGCTTAAATAAAATGATTTCAAAATAAAAGCATGTATCATTATGGAAACATGAAAAATTCTGTAAATATTTTCATTTTGAAATCCTAAATACATGGTGTGTAACCTTCTAATAATAGTATACTTGATAGATTTGAAGTAATTACTATATTACATAAATGGTTTGCATTTCTTTAGGGGGAAAAGAGAAACTGTTGAATAGGACTTAACCCTTATTTGCTCTAAGATTTGTCAATAGTTCCACTTATGTCAGAAGCTACTGTGCAGTGCAGTGTCTAGGAATGGGTGTACCTGTTCAAGTGCCTAGAGGGAGCAGAACATAACAATGTGTTTTTAATCTGAACAGAAACCATGAGGTTGAAAGTGACTGCGTTTTAAGATTAGAATAAGAAATGCATCTGGGGATGGGGAGAAAAGGTGCAAAGATCAGGCATCTGTACAGTTTTTTTTTTTGGGGGGGGGGAGTATGGTTTTAAATACTAGTTATGCATTAACTAATTAATTAGTAAGGAACAAGCTACGTCATTGTAACAGACTAATATGTTTTCTGTTGCTGTCTGTTTGTTCCTTTGACCCCACCTAAGGAAAAATGTGTTAGATGGATTGAATGTAAAATACGTTGATTTTTTTAAATGAGTTTCATCCATATATATAAAATATGTATTAATTTAAAATAGTTGAAGGATGGCTATTTTATTTTTGTGCTTGCAGAACGTCCCATACCCTTCGATCACATGATGTATGACCACCTACAGAAATGGGGGCCTCGCCGGGAAGAGGTCAAGTTTTTTCTTCGTCATGAGGAGTCACCAACTGAAAGCAATGAACAGAGTGAGTACCCTTATCTTGTACTGTTGCTACCTGAACATTAAGTATTAAAGTATTTTCTGAAGTGATTTTGGTTTGGTTGTTGTATTTTTTATTTTTTTATCAGATAGTTAGAAGATCAACCTAATTCTAGCATTGGTCACAAATATACTCTGATGCATGTCAGGTATTTTAAACACTCTTCAAATTTAAATAGTTATTACAATGGCTCTGAAAGAGAAGTTAACCGGGGCTTTGTCTTACTGGTCTATCGTGTGAATATGGGACAGTGAAGATAAGCAGAGAGGCTGTCTTTGAACTTAGTTGCTCTTAAGTGTTTTCTCTTCCATGTATTCTCCCATTTGCCCTTTGACCTTTTTTTGAAATTATTCTGTTACCGCAACATCCTGTGGTGAGGTGTTCAGCAGTTGAACTCTATATTGTATAAAGAATCATTTTTAGATGTTCCTGTAGAGGATCCTGACATGCTCAGAGGGATGGGATCCTGCTTTTCCCCCCATTCTGTCTCACCCACCCCTGCTGAAAAAGAATCGGTGAACAACTTTGCCTCTTTTGGAAACCAGACTTAAAACCTGTGTATGTGCAGTGATAATTTGCATCCTGAAAAGTTTCTGGTGTGCTTGTTTCTGTGGAAAAGTCTTTGTAAAAACAGTGCTGTATTAAGTGGAGACTCACTTAAGAGTCTGAATAAATAAAAGAATGATGAAAATAATGCAGACTGTATGTAATTTATGAGAAGACTTTGAGGTTTTGTGTTACAGGCTTTATGGCTGTCTGGCAGCCTGAAGAATAGGAAAGGAATCTTGAAGTGAGATGTACATTTGCATGCTCTGCTTATCCTTACTCATTCGACTAATCTGCCTATTTCTGACAACTAAATTTTAAGTTTTGGCTGTCTTTATTGCTTCAAGCTGGAGTTTCTTTTCATATCTCTAAATGGCTGCAGTTGGCTTTGAATGCCAGATGTAGCAACTTCAATAATGTATAAGGGATTTTTTGTTATGTTTTAGTTCTGTACTTGTAAAATCCTCATCCTTTGGGCAATATAGGAGCAATATGAATTTAAAATACAGTGTGAGAAGTTTAAGACGCACCTGAAAACCTGCTTTATTTTGCATGGAGCACCTCCTTTTTGAATCAAACATACAAAGCTTTTTAATAACTCATTTAACTACGGATCAATTTGTAGATAAAAGATCTTTCTAAGACGTTGGAAAAACTCTCCAGCATGGGCATTTAAAAACTTGTTTGGAGCTACTGCTGCTTCTGGATGTGGAAATAAGAAATAAGTCATGCTCAATCCATTCCTTTTTATAGCACAGTTGTCTAAACACAAATCAGAAAAGTGGGACCTACATGTCTTTAACAGCAGAAGTCTATGAACCTTAAGCATTCTCTGATTCTGTGAAGGGAATGTTTCTTTTCTGTCGATTCTTCTGCATACCAAGAACAGCCTAATAAGGATTTGGAACTAGCAAAACTAAAATTCATGGCTACAAGCTTTATGTAATAGCAAACAGACGATAGTGTAGGGTTGAAATGAATAATAAGAATGATTAAGTACTTACGTAAGCGATTTTACATACTTTACATAAAATTGCTGAAGTCCTGCAACGAGCAAAATGAAACTGTACTGCAAAAACAGTTACATATGAAATATTTATAGCTATTTGTAAGTACCTGATTCTTCTAAAAAGACAGAATTTGGAATTTCAACTGCACAAATATGTAGTATATTTCCTCTTAAGTATTTATTTAAGATAATTCACACTACTGATAGAAAACAAAAAAGTTCTATATGTTCATAAATGTGACAACTGAATATAAATTTTAAAAAATTACATACATACATATGTGTATACACACACATAACAGATTCAGGAATGGAAACCCATTTATTTGAAAACTGTTTTTCTCACTGTGGTGTATTTTACTTTTAGGTGTACGTCAAGTCCAAAATCAAAGAAATGGAATAAATATACCTGTGGAGAAGCGTACAGAGAATGGGGTATGTAATAAATCACATGGTGGAGTGATCAATTCCACTCATATATTCTATGCTTTAAGAAGTTTGTGCTTTTTTGATATAGTTGGAAGTAGTGAAAATACAAATCTCTTGTAGAATTTTAATTTTTATAATAAAGTGGGTATGAGGATATTGCTTTTTTCCATGAACTACACCTGAATTTTCTCTTTGGGGGGATGGGGAGAAACACACGACTCCTGTGTCATGCGAAGTCCCCAGTATCTAGCCGCGCCATTTCCTCATCTGCCCTCCTCCGTCTTCCTCTTCCTGTGTGAGAAAGAACCAGCCCTATTACTCTTGCGTACTTGTATTGCCTGCCCAGATATCTGTGCTTGTTTGACCTGCTTCACTGATACTGGTTCAGGACCAGAAAACGTATCTCTGGATTAGGTTGTTTTTAGATAAAGAGGTTAAATTTCCCTCAGAGCCACCTTTTTGTTCTGGTTTCATCTTACTCGCTTGATTCACTTTCTATACTTCTTTTTTCCCCCCACTAAGTTATTATGAAACTTCAAATTTAATAGTCTCTGTTACAGGTTATCTGTTAGGTCATGTTTGGTGATTCCTGGTTTGAACATCTTCTGTGTTACAAATAAAATATAGCACATGTTTTTTTTCAAAGCTTGAATGCCTTATGAAGCTTATGTTCCAGAGATAAAATCACTTTGCCTTTTTTTTTTTTCAAATCTTCAGTACCAGGAAAAACTCTGCGAGACATATTCTGGTTTCATTCATCCATGGCCTCCCTGCTGTTTTTACTCAAACACTCTCTAGCTACATTTGTTTATTCTTTGAAACTTTCATATTTCAAGAAAAAAATTTGACCTCACCAATTCATAGTTGTATCATCTCTGCAGAACAGCTTACATTGAGCAGTTTAGAAAGTTGTTACAATGAACCTATTGTTTTTTAAATAACAATTTTCTTTTTTTAAGGGTAAAATAACTCTTAAAAATAAAAATAAAATGGAATAGGTCTTTTTGTTCAGATGTCTTAAAACTCAAATAACAAAAAAGTAATCTTGCTGCTTCAACAATTTTGTGCCTTTGAGTTGCCTGATACTTGGCACCCAACATTTACATACACGTTGAACGAAGTGTTTTTTTCCAGTTCAGCAAGTTTTCAGCCCTTGCCAGCTGTTTTGTGTATGGCATGTGGGCCTAGTGGAAGGAATTCTTCTTTTTTTAACCCCCTATTCAAAACAGTTAATCATGTATTGCTCTCTGCACTTCTTTTTCCTGTAGAGAACACTAGCTGATATCCTGTGCTACCCAGCTCCATTTATCCTGCTGCCTTTGTCTTAGTGACAATGTAGTGAGCTCATAGTAATGTGCTAGGGGAACATAACTCTTTCATGACCTCCCAGCTCTCATCCTCCATGTAAGTCATAGCACATTTGCCTCCTTTGAGATGTAAGTGTTGCTGGAAATTTGGACTGGCATGTGCAGTACGTTTGCAAAGCTTTTGAAAATGCGGCTTTGTGTCTAGCTTGGTTTGCTGTTAATTTTCTGTGTTAAACAGAGACCAGGCAGTTCGATTCACTCTGCTGTCAGTGTGCAACTCAGTGTATATTAAAACCCCAGAATTATGGCCAAAAATAAAATTTATTAGAGAATCATTTGCTTTAAAATGGACTTTCAGCAATTTTATGAAATTACTACGCATGAGAAATTTTAAAACACAGTGAGCTTCCATTAATGTAAATTGCTATGTGTTTTGTGCCAGAAATGATACCAATTAAGTTGTGAAAAGTATAAAACTCTGATTTGCGATTGTACCAAGTTTTCAACTAGAGGGGGATGGGGAAAAAGAGGTGGCTTCAGGATCAAGGATTTAATCAGCTTATGCTTACATAATGCGTTAGGCTTATTCATTGTTACTGGCATGCTAAATGTTAGACCAGCTCTAAAATGAATGCAACCCAATGGAACTCTGAGGACAGCTAAAATCTTACCAAATACATTCAGGTATATTTTTACTGTATTTCATTGCTTTAATAATGAAATGTTTTTTATTTATTGTTTATAGACTTAGTATATGGATAAAGCTAAAAGTACGATATGCATGCAAAACTTTAAGAAGAAACGTTTCCTTCAGTGTTAAAATCAATAGTCTAGGATAAAACGATGGTCAATCTATCTTGCAGGAGTTTAGTTTAGAGGAGAATAACTCCAAGAAGTTATCTAATTTGTCATGGGCAGTGTCTTTTCTGTTCTTTGAAACTCTTGTGTGCATGGTCAGCACTTATTAGAATTATGGTGGGTTTAAAAATCACAAAATTATGTAAATCATTAATTTTTATCAGATTGTCTTCCAAATTAAAAATTGTTAGGAATAGAGTAGGTTAGGTCTCTTTAAACAGTGAAATACGCACTGCTTATAAAAAGGATACTTATCTGCAAGCACTCACCTGGGAGCTTTGCATTCTGCCTATCTAAGTATAAGGAGAAGCTATGTGAGCTGGTATAAATCAACTAGTTTTCCTACTCCTGTGATGGCCTTTTAGTGGGTCAACTTTCTGTGTTTTTGTTGTTGTTGTTTTGACACCTTTCTGCCTTTGAAAGAGAATTATGCTGTAATCAGGATCCTATCTCTTTCCACCACCATCTAGAGGTTATATGTATGTGGAAAACTTACATAATCACTTTGCCAGGAGGACAGCATAGTTTCTTGAGAGACTTTATGTGAGAATAATTGCTTCTTCCATGCCTTTGTACATGTAACTGAGCTAGTTTGATCTAGACACAAGTGATATGAAGGGGAATTTTAATTAGATATTAGGTGAAAAAACACTGTAATGAGAGTACTTGGGCATTGTAACAGATTTCTCAGAGTATGAGACTTCTATCCTTGTAGATACTCAGAATTTATCTGAACTTTATTCTGAGATTTCCAAACCGCTCTGACTGGAGGTAACTGGACCAGATAGCTTCCCAAGGTTCCTTTCTACCTAAATATTTACCCAAATTCTGCCTGATACTGGCCTTTGATTCTGTGACCTTCACTGTTCTGAGGCTCCAGATATTCTTCTACCATTTAGTCATTTCTTCATTTGTGTCAGTGGTCACAAAACAGTGGTCATACAATGCCAGTTACTGTTTACTTCTATATGGACATATATGCAATAAAAGCTTCATTCCATAGAAAGGCTGGTGGTCGGGAAATTGTGAGAAAGAGCAGATACAGTTCTAGCCACTGGGGGTCACTGGTACATAGAGGAGGGACCAAAAGTCATCGGTAGTGGTGGAGCTGCCATCCAGAGTCATCAAGAGGAAAATCAGAGTGGATCAGAGTTTTACCTAAAGGAAATACTGGAAGAAAGACTGGCTGGATGATTACAGTTTTCCAGATGAAAAGGTAATCGGGTGGCTGAGAAATTTTTGGAAATGAGACAAAGGAAAAGCAAAAATGCGTTAGGAAGTGGAAAGGATCAGGTACAGGAAGATTGAAGAAAAGCGTACAGGACAGAATACAAGTAGTCTAGTGTAGTGAAAACAGGCTGTGTGCTGTTTTGTTAGTTTGTTTTTTGTTGCTTTGCTTTATTTTTGATGAAGACAAATGCTTTTTCATGTTGCTATAGATGCTTGCTTTAAAAACTCTTTCTACTTGGTAATTTACTCTGAGAGAATGAAATCCTAGTTTGCAGTTTTCAGTGCTGTTCTCTTTAACTTTTTTGCTCTTTCTAATACAAAATTTCCACAGAGAATGCTATCAGTAAGCTTTTTTCTTGATAGATATTGATTGAAGCCTGAAGCCAGGAATTGCGAAGTAGAACCTGATTTTTATCTCTCACTATGAAATTCATTAGCTTTAATGTAACGGAAACTCAAGAAGAGGAGCAAAACTTCATCACTCAAACTGGAAATTACATTCTTGTGAACCTTCTTAGTCTTGAAGCTTTGGCAGATAAAGCTGAGAATTAGGAGGTAACAAAATGAATGTTTATGGTAAAATGAATGCCATCAGGCAATTAGATAGATGAGCAAATAGTTTTGCAATCAAGCAAATCTGACTTCAGCCTGAAGGGGAACTGCTCATCAAAATTCAAGTAACGGGGAGGTTAAAACTTGTAGGTTTATGTATACACAGAGCAGCTAGGAGTAGAACTGAATTAACTGAGGAGAGCATCAGGGATAAATCTGGATCACTCAGGTAATCTAAAATAGTTTGTCCATTTTTTTAACTCTCCTTGGAAGTGTGGTTGCTCTAATCTGCCCGCAAGTGCAGATGCATTTCACAAGAAATTCATGTGGCATCAGCAATCTGATGGCCAAGAGGCAGTATAGCATTTTAGAGTGCATAAGTATTGTGCAACTATGATACAGTGTTATTAAATGCCATCTGGTAGTTTGTTTTGTTGCACTATATACTGTATTATTGAAGCTTGTGGTGAGGTATATATAGCACTGTAGTTTCCATAAATGACAATGAAATTCAAACAGTTTGACACTGCTATAACAAACGAGTCAAGTCATTAAACCCTGCAACATCTGAATTCTTATCTTAATGATAAATAAATGAAATAAAAGTAGTTTCTTGAACCACTCTTCAAAGTACTTCAACTTAGTATTGTGCATATGCACAAAAAAAAAAGAAGGGGGAGAGCCTTGGAAGAAGTTTGTATTTGTAAGACGTAGCACTTGCACAGTTTTGGCTAAATATGACTAAATAGAAAGTTGTTAGGCTTGGGAATCTAGATTCTTTCAGAGAGATCTCTATTCTAACCAAATAACATAATGAAAGGATGATATAAGGTAATTTAGATGCAAGGAATTCCGGCAATGGCTTCTTTTTAAGGCTATTTCTTAGAAACTTTCTGGAACATTTTGACTATGCAGAAGTCAGATCCAGGTTCTCCCAGCTTTCTGCTGGAGTTTTGTCTGTTCCTTTTTAAAGGAGACAAAAATGATTGTATCTGCCACTTTTGCTAATGTCTTCCCTAGTCTGAGACATGCAGGGAAAAGAATCACAGGAATGTGAGA